CTAAGTAAGGTAAAGACATCCCATCAGTGCATAGATCAGTCTGCGATAATCCGTGCACAATTTAGGGAAGCGGAATTTTCCAAGTCACGCTTTCGCGATCGGTTTTACAGGGATAACATACAAAAATGAAACAATTTACTTATATTAAACAATGCAAGGTCGGTGATAGATAACTGTCGGTGGAAGAAACAAATAAATATTATCTGATGTTATCAAAACATCTTCTCCTTGACTCAAAGGTGCTTTTTCTGTACGAAGTATCAAATTCAGAATGTACATGCACCATGCATGGAACTCGTAAATATACTTACCTTGTCATTGGTCATTTGCAAAATTATTTTGTTAAAAAACATTCTGATTGTACACACAAGTACTCTGAAGTTGACATTAAAAAGATGCTTGAGTTTCTGATTGACAATATCTATGTGGTTTTTGGAGACCAGGTCTTCCAACAATCTATTGGAATTCCTATGGGTACCAATTGCACCCCGTTATTAGCAGACCTTTTTTTGTATTCATATGAAGCAGAATTTGTCCAAAATCTTGTACGTGAAAAGAAGAAAACACTTGCTGTGGCGTTCAACTCGACATTTAGATATATCGACGACGTATTGTCAATTAACAATGGCTATTTCCATTCTTATGTCGATACGATATATCCTGGTGAACTTGAGATAAAAGATACCACAGAGTCTGACACATCTATTTTATATTTAGATATTTTACTTGAAAAAGACGTTAATGGTAATCTAACAACCAAGCTTTATGATAAACGTGATGACTTTAACTTTTCAATCGTCAACTTCCCTTACTTATGCAGCAATATACCTTCATCACCTGCATACGGGGTATATATCTCTCAGTTGATTCGATACGCAAGAGCATGCTCTATGTATGTACAATTTCTAAAACGAGGTAAATTATTGACAAATAAGTTGATGAAACAAGAATATCAGCTGTCTCGTTTAAAGTCATTATTTCGTAAGTTCTATGGTCGATACAATGACCTTGTCAGCAAATACAATTTATCATTGAGTCAAATGCTGACTGACGTTTTTCATACTAATCGTTAGGCCATTATTTACACACTGAATTGTCGACGGATATTCCGTTATTTCCCGATCATGAAAAGGAGCACATGGCGGGTGTGACCGGTCGGCAGGGGATGCTCACTCCTCCATGGCACCTGATCCCACCTCTGATGTTTGGAGGTCCGTGTTTGCTCTGCTCCTATTTCGTATTGTATAATGGACTTTTGAGCTTGAATACTGTTCGTTATCTCCATATATTTCATGCATGTGCACAGTCTGAAAATAAGTAGGCAAGCTAGAAATCCAAGATAAGTGAATTTTAAACATAAACACAAGTCAACATATACATGTACGAAGGGTTATCAAAAAGTTCGTGGACTGGCGCCATAAGATTAAAACCGCTTTAGGTACATTAATGAATTTTAACATATTTAGTTAGTATCATCTTTTCTATCTAAAGAATAATCCATAAATCATTTTATGATGTTTTTAGCTCACCTGAGCCGAAGGCTCAAGTGAGCTTTTCTGATCACATTTTGTCTGTAGTCCGTCTGTCCGTCCGTCTGTCAGTAAACTTTTCGCATTTTCGACTTCTTCTCAAGAACCACTGGGTCAATTTCAACCAAACTTCCCACAAAGTATCCTTGGGTAAAAGGGATTCAAGTTTGTTCAAATGAAGGGCCAGGCCCTCTTTCAAGGGGAGATAATAAAGAATTAGTGAAAAATTAATAGCATCTTTTAAAAATCTTCTTCTCAAGAACAGCAAAGCCAGGGAAGATGAAACTCATGTGGAAGCATCCTCAGGTAGTGTACATTCAAGTTTGTTCAAATCATGACCCCCGGGGGTAGGGCGGGGCAATGGAGGATCAAAGTTTTACAAAGAAATATTTAGGAAAAATCTTTAAAAATCTTCTTCTCAATAACACCAAAGCCCTAATTGATCATATTGATATGGAAGCATCCTAAGGTAGGGTAGATTCAAGTGTGTCCAAATCATGACCACGGGGGGTAGGGTGGGGCCCCAAAGGAGGATAACAGTTTTACATAGAGATATATAGGGAAAATCTTTAAAAATCTTCTTCTCAAGAACAGCAAAGCCCTGATTGATCATATTTATGTGGAAGTATACTCAGGTAGTGTAGATTCAAGTTTGTTCAAATCATAACCCCCGGGGGTAGGGCGGGGCAATGGAGGATCAAAGTTTTACAAAGAAATATTTAGGAAAAATCTTTAAAAATCTTCTTCTCAATAACACCAAAGCCCTAATTGATCATATTGATATGGAAGCATCCTAAGGTAGGGTAGATTCAAGTGTGTCCAAATCATGACCCCTGGGGGTAGGGTGGGGCCCCAAAGGAGGATAACAGTTTTACATAGAGATATATAGGAAAAATCTTTAAAAATCTTCTTCTCAAGAACAGCAAAGCCCTGATTGATCATATTTATGTGGAAGTATACTCAGGTAGTGTAGATTCAAGTTTGTTCAAATGTTGCCCCCCTGGGGTTGGGTGGGGCCACAATGGAGGATCAAAGTCTGAAATAGAAATATATAGGAAGATTTCTTCTGATGAAGAACTGCAAAGCCATGATTAGTCATTTTGATATGGAAGCATCATCAGGTAGTGTAAATTGAATTTTGTTCAAATGATGACCCCCGAGGGTAGGGTGGGGCCCAAAAGGGGGATAGAAAGTTTTACATAAGAACACATAGAAAAAATATTTCTTCTCAAGAACAGAAAAGCTATGTTTAGTCATATTGATATGGAAGCATCTTCAGGTAGTGTAGATTCAAGTTTGTTCAAATGATGACCCCCGAGAGTAGGACGGGGCCACAATTGAGGATCGAATGTTACATAAGAACATATAGAAAAAATATTTCTTCTCAAGAACAGAAAAGCTATGTTTAGTCATATTGATATGGAAGCATCATCAGGTAGTGTAGATTCCAGTTTGTTCAAATGATGACCCCTGGGATAGGGAGGAGCCACAAGGGGGATCAAATTTTTACAAAGGAATATATCAGAAATTTTTTTAAAAATCCTCTCAAGTACAACAAAGCCATTTGTTATTTTGACATGGAAGCATCATCAGGTAGTTTAAAATTCAAGCCCCCCCCCCCCCCCCCCCCGGGAATCTTTTCAATACTGAACTGATTTGTGCTTTTGCCTATCCACTGTGCTCAGGTGAGCGATGTGGCCCATGGGTCTCTTGTATTTTTTAAAAATAAATTGTTAATGTTTTTGTAAGCAAGGGTATGTCAAGGCGGCGCAACCTCAAATATGCGGATTTTTTTTTCTATACCTAAGTGTAACTTTAAAAAAAGTCTTTTGATATGAGCATTTTTCATAAAAAAAAATCCCGATAATGCAGACATGTGGTACAACACGATTGTTCCGTAAAATTTGCATTTTTTACCCCATTCTGTAAGCTCTATGAAATTTATCGTAAATTTTATATGGAGTGTCCAAACAATTAAGGACTTGAAAATGACGTCGAAAAGGGGGAGGGGTTTCTTTTTCCAATATTATATTCTATAAAGTTTTGAACCTCGAAATACTGGTATAGACCTAGGTAATGTTGAAACGGGCTACAGAAAAATAAAATGCATCCACAGTATTTGTTTTAAGTACCCAAAAAGATTCAGAGAGATGAGAGATGCACAGTTAATGTCGATTTGTAGTCAGGGTGTCAAAAGTCAGTCACGTCGAAGTGACGTTGATCATGTGTGATAGAAAATTAACTCCAACAAGCTAAATATTCTGGCATAATTATGATTTTAATTCCCTATGTATAGATCATTTTACACCATTATATGCATTGAAAGCAGCTGTTCATGACATTGTAAAGTTATATAAACAAGATGTCCTTACTTTACTGCAGGTAATCTTATCAAGATAAGTGTACGACGTAGGGAGAGCGGGCATTGAGAAACAAATATGTTGTCGGACGTCATGAAATTAAACGGCGGGTGAGCATATTATGTCTTTTTTATTTAAAAATAATTTGGCAGATTATCAATATATCAAGCTTAAATTTTCAAAATTTCTTAAACTTTTATTGTTTTATATTTCTTATAAGTTTTGTAAGCACAGACTGCATAGAATTAATCTTATTGCATCAGTGGAAGAACTTTTTGATAACCCACGTATATATAATTAAGGACCTAAGCAAAGAGGCTTTAAAATTTTTCCCCTTAGCCCCTGTATAATTGAAGAGTTCGGGTAGGATGCTGAGGACCTTTGTGTGACCTTTATAATGCCTAATGATGCTGTACACCTCTCATCTAAAATCGAGCTAAAACTATATGTTAATATATATATATATATATATATATATATATATATATATATATATATATATATATATATATATATATATATATATATATATATATATATATTTCTATGATCATCATCTGGTACCTATACAAACCTTTGGTAGAGTATCATGTCGTAAGGTATATTGCGTACGAAAGAGTGGAATTTGCTAAATACCGAAATCAAGTTTACCCACTTCCAAGTGCAATCTTGAAATTGTGAATTTATGTGTCCTGGTTCAAATTTTTTAAAGAGAAAAATCACATTCATTTTACAAATAGATCGTTGAAATTTGTTTGCATTTAATGTTGCCCCATAAGCGAGAGGACTAGTCACTTTAAGACAATAGTTTTAGATGTTTAAACATTGTTTTGAGAAATGTGCTGTCACATGTATCTATAGGCTGCATTAAATATAATTTGTATAAAAAGATTTTAAGATAATATAAATTAAACTTTACAAAAGTAAAAATAAAAATCCTTTCCTTGACGTGCTGAGCTATTGCATTTCTTTAAGCGCTTCTGAATATTTTCAGTACTTTGATTCAAAATGTTTTCGTTTTATACGCTGCCGCAGTTTAAAAATAACGTAGGCTGGCCTTGCTTCTCTGATATGTACGATCTTTCGTACGATAGAGACAGGCAATACCAGTCTAGTAAAAACAGTGCTACTCGGAACTTCTCTAAGGTTTGAAGCAATCGTTTGATCAACAGCTTGAACAAGATGCTAGACTTTGTGATTTTTGCGGCAACTTTTCTTACAGCCTTATTGATAGCCACGATTTACTTTTATCCGGTAAGAAATTTTACATAATGACATTCAACTTATTTTTGCCACTTAGTTTTATGAATCATGCAATGAACAGGTGTACACAGGTACATCATGTAGCATCCATATATCATGAAATTTGGAAGTTTGAATCTAAGAGGATGTCAGATCAGATGCAATGTAGGTTGTCGTTCCTCAACATGTCGTCTTACGTCAATCAATATTCTGAGAGAGTACAGAAACAAATATGAAATAGGTGAAGATAGCGTATTGTGATCAATCTCATAGGTCATGTAAAATGGGACAAAAAAGGGAAGAGCTAGGTTAAGAAGCGCCAATAAGAAATACGCCGTAAAATAATCTGTGAAAATGTATTCAATATATCTAAACAAACTTAAAGCGTTTAAGTATTCTGCTGTATGTTTTTGTGTATATTGGGTCTCTGCAGAATTTGTTCAAAGCGACAACATTTGTATCAGCTGTTTGTAACCTGACGGGTTAAAATTAGAAAATATATGTTCAACTAAAAAGATAGTGAAAGTTCATCGATTTACGTAATGCATTTTGGCTCTGAAATTGATTCTGTTTTCTTCAGACAGATTTCTTTACACAAAATTTGCTGGGAGCAAGTTTTCCATGTTTGGGAGCTATGAATTTAGCCATCTTTCTATGAATTTCTGTAATATAAAAGATATATCATCAATAATAAAATAGCGCCTAACCTTTTATATGTTGAAGGCGACAGGTACATGCGAATAGGTGAGTTTGTAACAATATGATATATTGTTAGGTCAATTTAATCAGGCTCGATGTTCAATCAATGCTTACAGTTTTGCTTTTGTAATCCGCCATGCTTACTGTTTACTTCTATTAGAATAGTCTAGTTTCACCTGACTTATCTATTCTACGAGCTCAGTCGATAGAGCGCTCGCTCCGTGATCGGGAGGTCGTGAGTTCGAATCTCGGTGGTGTTAGTGATTCTGGGCTGCAAGAGAGGCTTCTGTGTGTAGTTGACTTAGACTTGGAAAAATGCATTAAGGTTTGCAGAGCAACCGGTTTCCAAGGTGTAGAACAAAGAAACTGAACAACAGGACGCAAGAATATCTGTGCAAGCAGTGAACTAGCATAAGAAGAGCTTCAAGAATCAGCCCCAAAAGCCCCAGAATCAACAACAATAGGTATAAGCTGGACAAGATCCCAGTCAATGCAAGTACTGCGGAGGTCGCCACGCCAAAGTAATTCGAAATTGCAAAACTTATGGCCACCAGAGCGGGAAGTGTCGCAAACTATATAACTTTGAAAAGGTACGTAACTCCGCCAAGTCGACTGTACACCAAATCCAAGACTCTGCTGATTACTTTACTATTTACAGCATAGATCTGAAAAAAGAACAGTGAGTCAGTTAATGCCATTAACCAAGCTACTGCAAACAAGGTATTAGCCCCATTGTCAGTATATTGACAATATGTGAAGTCATCAGTGGGGATACATGCAACATATTCCCGACAGCAGAAACTCGATTCAGATCTCATAGTTCCCTACTTTGAGGTCAGAGATGAACTGTCTATCCAAACTGGAGTCATTTTCAATGGAGACAGACCAGTCATTCCCAAGCACTACGCAAGGACATGCTTAAGAAGATACATTCATCACACCTTGGATTTGAGAGATGTCTACGACGAGCCAAAGAGTCTGTGTACTGACCGCAAATGAATGCTGAAATCAAGGACTTCATACAAAAGTGTAAAACATGCCACACTTTTAAAATCAACCAAGGAAAAGAACCTCTACAACATCAGGAGATACTGTACCACCACGTCCTTGGGCGAAACTTGGTCTTGACATGTTCATTTTCAATTAACCTAACTACTTGATTAGTAACTGATTATTTCTGAAACTTCTTTGAAATTAAAATCTTGGACAATATGACATCCCGTGAGATCATTAAAGGATTACGAGTTCAATTTGCGAGACATGGAATACCAGACGTGTGTCTGACAACGATCCTCCATTTGTCTCTGAAGAATTTGCTAACTTTGCCCAACTATGGGAATATGACCTCGTAACATCTTCACCAAACTACCCACAAAGAAGGGGAAAGCTAAACCAGCAGTGAAAGTCGCGAAACAAATTCTATAGAAAGCAAAACACGCAAAATCCGATCCCTACGTAGCGTTTTTGGATTGTAAAATAGTATGGAAATTGAATAAATTAATAACATGCTTAAAACTGACTAGAATCACACCATCAGTACGGCTTTACAAACTGATTAGCAACAAAGTATATACATGTATATGACTGGAAATTGATTTTTAGAGTATTATATTCAATTGAGTTAGATACATCATCAGTTAAATAAATGAAGCATTATAGCTATATTATTTTACTAAAGCAAAGAGAATGTAACAATATGTTCAATCAATGCTTACAGTTTTGCTTTTGTGATCCGCCATGCTTACTGTTTACATCTTTGAAAAGTAGTCTAGTTAACTCTTACATACCTATTCTACGAGGCCACAGCATATTGAAACACGGGTAGCATGGAACACGTGGTAAATATCAACATACAAGGTACATTATAACAACAAAACAAGGTGTGTACTGAAAGGCTTATGGGCCTGGAATTCAGTAAAGCTAATACGGGCATCAGGTGACATCCCCACTATACGGGAAGAATAGGGTCAGAGGTCATAACAGTAGAGAGGTGATATATGGCATTTTCACTACATTCCTCCCCGTTTCATCAACAAGTTTTGATAATATAAAATATCCGTATATATATAAACTAACATAATTTTTTAAACATATCTATAAAGTTTGAGATTTACAGTACCTGCAACGTTATTCTTGACAACTCTACGCGGTTATGTTAAGGCTACACCCGGATACCCTACATGCCTATACAATATGACGTCATAGTAAGCTGTCTGACGTGAACTTTAGAGATAATAATTTCTTCATATCTGTATTTAAAGTTTAATTTCAGGTCGAATAAATAATTGAAATCATTCGAAAACACAAGATAAACTAAATCTTGTCGTTTTTGTGTGGTATTTATAGCTAAGTATTTATCGCAGGGGATAAATACCAAACACATGACGTCATAACTATTGATCAAATATTTGCCGAGTGAATCTTAACGTGACGAGAATTCATGTAAACAAATATATGAAATGGAATTTTAAAGCATATACCGTGAATGTCATGTGTGATTCATAAGGAATTAAAGATTAAGAATCAGGTACGCTAATTTATTCTTATCATGTTTTCTTAAAATGAACACAGTCAGTGTTTTGAAATCCCGATCAGCCTTTCCTCTGTCGGTCTATAACAACAAAATGCAAAAGTTCAACACTACGCCGCATACTTTGAAACATAATTATTGTTTGTATCGAAAGTTTGTATTCTATAGTACTTAGAAAGTGCTGCTAGAATCGTGTGGTTAATATGAATTGATGACAATTCCTTGATCGTATGTACAAAATGTAAAAATTTTGGTAAGGTTTCATGTGAAACTTTGGAATATTTTTTTCTGTGTCGGGAGAGTAGGATTCTAGCAGCACTTTTCATGACCCAGTGATGTTTTTACATAATTATTTTCAAAAAAGAAATGAATTATCCCCGGGGTAGTGTTGAACTTTTCACTTTTTCGTTAAGGCAATTTTTCTATTTATAGATGTCACGTGAAGACGTCGTAGTGGAGTGCTTCTTTTAGCCTAGGACTCAATGACGTCTATACAATGAATAATAATAGTAAATGTTTTATCTATGGCTTTTCCGACTTATAAATATTAAGTTTGACGGAAAAAGTCTAAATTCGCCGAAAAATGATCTGGGTACTGCCTTAACATACCTGCGTATCGGGTTCTATCGTGCGTGTATCCTATCGTATCGTGCGTGTATCCTATCAAGTTTTCGGTTTAACGTATTGTATGTTGCGTTCATCATGTTTTGTGTTTATCGTTTTTTTGCATTTATCAGGTTTTCCTTTTATCGTGTGCATTCGGAAGGCATCTAATTTAACGGTCCTTTTCAGGAAAAAGACAGAGGTATTCCCATAATTTACAGATTAATAAATTTTATTTTATAAATAAATGTATATTCATTTACCAGAAATTATTAAGTCAAAGTTTATATAGACAATTGTTTAAAAAAACCGTAATGGTTTGATAGTTATTTTAATGATTTAAATTTTTTTTTTCTTTTTTTTTTTTTTCTTTTTTTTCTTTTTTTTTTTTTTTTTTTGTTTTTTTTTGTTTTTTTTTTTTTGTTTTTTGTTTTTGTATTTTTTGTTTTTTTTTGTTAGTTTTTTTTTGAATTTAGATGTGAATAAATATTAGAATCATCCGTCACTTAATTCGATCAGAACCTAGGCAATTTTATTTGCACTAAATTTACCCATACCTATACGTATATGCTTTTCAATCGGCAAATATTCGACATTTTAATTTCCACTCTGTCTCAGATGAAGTGCAAGCGACCGAGTGATGTACTGATTGAAAAAAAAAGAAAAGTAATAAAGTCATGAAAACTTAATAATTTTTATCTTTTGAATATTTTTAAGATTACGTGGCCGTGTAGGTCGCACAGATTGAAAGAGATAACGTACTTCAAAATTAGATAATGTAAGAATTTATTTACATATGTATCTCAGACCTATTAAAAACGGAAAAATAACACAAGGACACCTGATTTGTTTCTATTAAAAAAATAGAACAGCGTGTACTTGTATTTGACATGCTAAGGACAGCACTGCAGCAGTAAAACATATTCACACGTAAGTCCAGTAAGTGCACGGACAAAAAGTCTTTTGGAAGTTTACTTACTATCAAAGGGTAAAATATATTCAGGAATTAATAAACAATAAATACATTAATGAGATTTATCAAAGAATTTAAATACTATTAGTCAATCTATGTAGCTACATGTTTTATTTCGTTTTGTACACAATTGTCTGTAATTTAAATTACCATTCGTGTATCTTATCATGTTTTGCCTTTATCGTGAAACAGTTTATCCTATCGTAT